ATTCCCAGATGTATTAACTGCCACAGTAATTCTTCAAGGATTTGTAACACTGAAATCTTCTTTGCATTATGCATATGTTTATAAATAGCGTTAAGTTCAAGAACCTATTTCTCATTTCTTTAAATTCCTTTGTTTTTCCATTCTTATTACAACAAACAAACAAACGAAGCCACAGCGAATTCATGGCATGAGGTTAGATTGAGATAGATAGATAAATAGATAGATAGATAGGGAGAGAGAGAGAGAGAGAGAGAGAGAGAGAGAGAGAGAGAGAGAGAGAGAGAGAGAGAGAGAGAGAGAGAGAGAGACAGAGGCAGAGATAGAGCCAGGCAGACAGACAGACACAGAGAGAGAGAGAAAGAGAGAGAGAGAGAGAGATAGTAGTTCTTTATATAACATACATCATCAACCCTCACATGTTGCACACGTTCTGTCACCGATAATGAGTCAACAATGAAGTGATAATGAGCGCAATAAGGACAATACTAACAGCTACGATTAGAAATTTTATTACAATATAGATAAATCTTCAAACCCGATAAACAAACAACGAAATGGCGTGTCTGGCATGCAGTTTCGCAAATGCTAAACCAACAACGATAAATTTTAACTGATATGGATGAATCACTATAGATAAATATTCACGTATATTTATTTATTTGACGAGTGAATAATAAAGCTTGCACACAGTTTCCTAATCCGAAATAACTAAAAGACATTACATTAACCTCCAAAAAATATATAATATATCACCACAAAATTGCTTAAGTGATTTTAATCTTAATCCAAAAATAAGGATAATAATAATAAACAAATTAAAAAATACTCCTACTGAAATATGTACAATAATTCATCTTTAAAAACACATTCAATCAATAAAGAAAAAAATATATATATACAGTATATCTCCTTTTGGAATACAATTCACCGAAAAAAATACAATTTAATCCCTTCCGAAAAGACTCTACAATAAAAATACAAAAAAAGAAAAGAAATACAGACAGAAACAGATGTATAAACAAATGGAATAAAAAAAAGAATAATAAAACACATGAACATATAAAACCCCAAACAATTAAAAAAAAGGAAAAAAAAAATCACGGCGGAGGACCGAGCTGACTGGTCATCTCGCGCACCGTCGACACGAGAACTTCCATCAGGTCATCGAGAAGGTCATCGTCCACTGCCCTGCGCGCGAGGCCATGACCGGTCGTCACGAAGAGAGAGTTGTCGACGAGAGCCACCAGGGAGCCCACCAGCGACCGTGTCACCTGGGGAAGGGGGGGAGGGAGGGGAGAGGGTTGAGAGTATGGGTCGAGATGAGGGAGGGAGGGAGTGAGGGAGGGAGGGAGGGAGGGAGGGAGGGAGGGGAGGGGAGGGAGGGAGGGAGGGGAGGGAGGGAGGGAAGGGAAGGGGAGAGGAGGGGAGGGGAGGTAGGGAGGGAAGGGAGGGAGATGAGGTAGGGAGGGAGAGAGAGACAGGCAGACAGACAGACAGTGACAAATAGAGAGAGAGAGAGAGAGATAGAGAGAGAGAGAGAGAGAGAGAGAGAGAGAGAGAGAGAGAGAGAGAGAGAGAGAGAGAGAGAGAGAGAGAGAGAGAGAGAGAGAGAGACAGAGAGCCAGAGAGAGACAGAGAGCCAGACAGAGACAGAGAGCCAGACAGAGACAGAGAGCCAGACAGAGACAGAGAGCCAGACAGAGACAGAGAGCCAGACAGAGACAGAGAGCCAGACAGAGACACAGTGACAGACAGACAGAGACACAGTGTCAGAGAGACAGAGACAGACAAACAGAAAGACAGTGACAGACAGGCAGAAAGACAGTGCCAGGCTGACAGAGAAACAGTGCCAGGCAGACAGAGAGACAGTGACACACAGACAGAGAGACAGTGACACACAGACAGAGAGACAGTGACGCACAGACAGAGAGACAGTAAGAGAGAGAGACAGTGAGAGAGAGAAGAGAGAGAGGAGAGAGAGAGAGAAGGAGAGGAGAGAGAGAAGGAGAGGAGAGAGAGAAGGAGAGGAGAGAGAGAGGAGAGAGAGAGGAGAGAGAGAGGAGAGAGAGAGAGAATGAGAGGAGAGAGAGGAGAGGAGAGAGAGAATGAAAGGAGAGAGAGAAGGAGAGGAGAGAGAGAAGGAGAGGAGAGAGAGAATGAGAGGAGAGAGAGAAGGAGAGGAGAGAGAGAAGGAGAGGAGAAAGAGAAGGAGAGGAGAGAGAGAAGGAGAGGAGAGAGAGAAGGGAGGGAGGGAGGGAGAGGGAGAGGGAGAGGGAGAGGGAGAGGGAGAGGGAGGGGGAGGGGGAGGGGGAGGGAAAGGGAGAGGGAGAGGGAGAGGGAGAGAGAGAGCCAGACAGAGACACAGTGACAGACAGACAAAGACACAGTGACAAAAAGACAGAGAGACAGTGACAGACAGACAGAGAAACAGTGACAGGCAGACAGAGAGACAGTGACACAGACAGAGACAGTGACAGAGACAGAGAGACAGTGACAGAGACAGACAGTGAGAGAGAGGAGAGAGAGGGAGAGAGAGAGAGAGAGAGAGAAGGAGAGGAGAGAGAGAAGGAGAGGAGAGAGAGGAGAGGAGAGAGAGAAGGAAAGGAGAGGGAGAAGGAGAGGAGAGAGAGAAGGAGAGGAGAGAGAGAAGGAGAGGAGAGAGAGAAGGAGAGGAGAGAGAGAAGGGAAGGAGAGGAGAGAGAGAAGGGAAGGAGAGGGAGGGAGAGGGAGAGGGAGAGAGAGACAGTGACAGACAGACAGACAGACAGTGACAGACAGACAGAAACAGACAGATAGACAGAGAGTGACAGAGAGAGAGAGAGAGAGAGAGAGAGAGAGAGGAGAGAGAGAGAGAGAGAGAGAGAGAGAGAGAGAGAGAGAGAGAGGAGAAGAGAGAGAGAGAGAGACAGAGAGAGAGAGAGACAGAGACAGATAGACAGAGACAGAGAGAGACAGAGA